ACCTCAACATATAGCATCCAGAAAACTGGCACCAGTACAACATATACTGGTGCAGAGAAGCTGATGGATATTGACCAACTTAAGAAGGAAGAGAAGTGTTTCAACTGTGGTCAAAAGGACCACATGTCAAGAGACTGCCCAAAAAAGAAGTGCATGAGGAAAGACATATAGGTGCAAATCACCAAACTGCAGAAGGAGGCAGAGGAACTCAGCATGGAAACTAAGATCAAGGAGATAAAAGATGGGGCTAACCAGTAAATGGTTCTACTGGGTCAGCCAGAAATCAGAACAGTATATCATCAGCTGCAGGATAGACTAAAAGTGCCTCTATAGATACAAATATATCTAAATTATTAACACATTCAAATATACCCTGTACTTTGACTCCTACACACATACCAGAAGAGCTACTGAAAAAAACTCAACTGCCTATGAGCCAAACAGAGGGAGCAATCCTCACCAAGTGGCTCAAGCCATTTGAAACTGAATAGACTTGAAGAGCCATCAAAGATGCTAGAACAAAAGAGAAGGCTAGAGCTGTACTCAAGAATTGGATACACAAAACTAGGGCTGAAGAAGTAATTGACAAGATGATAGAGAGGATATGACAGGCTGAATAATGCCAGGCCATAGAATGGCTCAATGAACTTCATGGACCCTGGAGATATGTCTGATGCACAAAGACCTCAGGATGAGATCTAACTGCTAAGACTCAGATCAAGATACTCACTAATCAGTCTACCTATGTGGTGACTGCTCTGATCAACAGCAGATGTACTGGCAGCTCCATTAACCATGCCTTCATCACTAGACACAATCTCCTCACTAGAGCCACAGCAGCCCCAATTCCCATGTACAATATTGATAGAACCAAGAATCAAGCCAGCTCAATTACCAAATTTGTTGAGCTATAACTCGCTATAACTCACTATCAGCAATCACTTGGAAAGGATTGACTTAGCCATCACCAACCTGGAAACCAAAGAAGTGTTCCTAGAGTATGACTGGCTAATACATCACAACCTGCTGATTAACTGGAAGATCAGAAGGATCACATTCATGTGATGCAAGTGCTATAAAATTCCATTTGAATTATCTGATGAGGACTCAGAAGACAGGTGGAATGAGAAGATGGAGGATGGTGAGACTATACTCACTGTTGATGTACAGCAAGCCTTGCACATTCAGGCCATCCACCATGTCAATGACCTGGCAGTGAAGGCCAATGCTGAAAAACAAGAAAAGATGTTTGAAGAGATGGTCCCTGAATGGGCTCAGGACTTCTGAGACCTGTTCAACAAGGAAAGTTTTGATGAACTACCAGAATCCAAACTCTGGGACCATGCAATTGAACTAATCCCTAATGCCAATGCAAATCTCAACTGCAAGACCTACCTTCTTGGAAACCATGAGCAGCAAGAACTCAACAAGTTCTTGGATGAGAATCTTTCCAGTGAACAGATCTGACTGTTGAAGTCTTCTATGGCTTTGCTGTTTTTCTTCATCAAAAAGAAGGATGAGAAACTTCATCCAGTTTAGGATTACCAAAAGCTGAATGAAATAACAATCAAGAATTGTTATCCTCTTCCCCTAATCTCAGAGTTAATGGATAAGCTCTCAGAGGCTCAATACTACACCAAGTTGAATGTCTGCTGGGGTTATAATAATGTATGCATCAAAGAGGGTGATGAATGGAAGGCAGCTTTCTGAACCAACCAAGGGCTCTTTGAGCCCACAGTAATGTTCTTTGGACTTACAAACTCCCCTGTGACCTTTCAATGGATGATGAACAACATATTCAAGGATCTTCTCACTATGGGAAAGGTCACCATCTACCTGGATGATATCTTCATCATGTTCAAGGACTGAGGAGAACACTGAAGACTCATATGAGAGATATTCAAACTCATGAGAAAGCACAAGCTCTTTCTCAAGGCAGAGAAGTGCAAGTTCAAAGTATTAGAGACAGAGTATCTGAGAGTGATAATCAGCAAAGGAAGCATATGGATGGATCCTATCAAGGTGGCCAGAGTCACTGAATGGCTGGAGCTGACCAAAAAGAAGGAACTGCAATCCTTTCTAGGGTTCACCAATTTCTACAGATGATTTGTCTGTGAATATAGCAAGATAGTCTGCCTGATGATGCAATTAACAGGAAATGCCTCATGAAGCTGGAGACACTCACAGCAAGCCACCTTTGATGACTTGAAATGAAACCTGGCTAAGGATGTTGTCCTTGCTATTCTCACTCAGGAGGGAAAATTCCATGTGGAAGCTGACTCAAGTGAAGGGGCAATTGGAGCTATTCTATCCCAAGAACAAGGCAGAAAATGACAACCAGTAGCCTTTCTCTCCAAAGCCCTAATGGTCACTAAATGAAACTATGAAATATATGACAAAGAGTTACTCATGATAATACTCACTCTGGAGGAGTGGCAGTATTATCTGATTGGAGCAGTGTGAACATTTGAGATCTGGACCAACCACCAGAATCTCTGATATTTCCATCAATCTCAGAAACTTAATTGATGACAGGCACACTGGATAACTGAGCTCTCCCAATAAAAATACACCCTCTACTACAAAGCTGAGACTGCAAACAAGAAAGTGGACCTACTCAGTTGACAAGCTGATCATGATCAGAGAGGAAGTGACAATGAGGGGGTGACATTGTTAAAATCCAAACACTTTTAGGCTATGATAATGCCAACAGAGGAAGAGATCCATGAGCAGATCAAAAGTGCCATAAGGGATAGTGGCAAATGGGACCAGCAAGTGGCTCCATCACTCAATCATGAACAAGGCATGACCAAGGAAAGAGGGTTGATTCATTATGATGGATAAATCTATATCCCTTGAGATCAACAGCTTTGCAGTGAAGTCATCACTATATGCCATGCAACAGCAGGACATCTGAGAATCACTAAGACCAAAGAACTGATACTGTGAGAGTACTGGTGGCTAAAGATGGGCTAAGATATCAAACACTATGTAAAAGGGTGTGAAACTTGTCAATGAGGCAAATCATCCACACAGCCACAAGCAGTGCTGCTTTATCTGAATGAGGTTCCTGCATCTCTTTAGACTCACATTTCAGTGGACATGATCACTAGACTATCTGATTGCAACAGCTATGACACCATCCTCATTATTGTCAATCAATTTTCAAAGGTGATCATTCTGGTCACATGCTCAATGAAACTAATCTTGAAAGGGTGGGCCAAGATCTTATGCAACAAAGTCTATGCCAAGTATGGCATGCTCCAAGTCATTATTTCAGACTGAGGTCTGCAATTCATCTCCAAATTTCTCAATGATTTGTATGAACTCCTCAATATTCAATGAAACACATCAACAGCTTACCACTCACAAATGGATAAACAAACAGAATGAGCAAACCAAGAGATCAAGAAGTACTTTCAGTTGTTTATCAACTACCAACAGGATGACTGGATCAAATGGCTTGCTCTTGCTGCCTTTCAACACAACAACAGAGTCCACTCTGCCATGGGGAAAACACTATTTTTTGTCAACTTTGGATATCACCCAAATATATCTCAAACTGAATGGGCTCACACTATCACTCCCACTTCTTCCAATTTTGCACACACAATGACAACTATCCACAATAAAACCTGTGCTGCCCTTGAAAAAATGGCTGCCATTATGAAAAAACAATATGACAAACACCGCACACCTGCTCATCAATATAACATTAATGACAAAGTTTGGTTGGATACAACCAACCTACACCTCTCTCACCCTAAACAAAAATTGACTGATAAACAGACTGGCCCCTTCACCATGGTCATGAAAGTTGGCACTTCCACTTTCAAACTCTATCTACCATCCACATGGAAAATTCATGATATTTTTAACAAAACTCTCCTCACACCCTTTATTGCCCTGGTGACATGCCCTCTCCATGTTCAGACATGTAAAATTGCAAAAATTGAGAATACATGGGACAGGCTTAGTCATCACAATGACTGAGTCCATCATTGTCTTCTGATGCAACAACACCCCTTGATGATGGACAACAATCTTTCTGTAGGTAGTAATGATGCCCAAGGACAAAGGGCACAATGGCTCAGACAGACACAATTAGTAGGAGTATATTTATCTTGATGAATGAATGGTATATAAGTAGGATAGCTCTCACCATAGATACTCAGCTTTGAGCTAAAGTTTATCTTCACCATTCTATTTCAAGCCAACTTGTAATTGGCCTTGAGACACAATACCATACAAGCACATATGGTGAACTTGGGCATGACTATATGAACTCAATACAGTGCCCATTTATCATGTGTTTAGGTCATGTGTCACTTGGGCTTAACAGTATGGGTACAGTGGAAGGATCCAAATTTTATGCTCACAACAGGAATGTTGCCACTGTGGTTCTATGGTGGACCTGAGACATGATTTTGGAAGAAGAAAAACTGTTTGTGCCAGGAGTAAGGCAGAGAACTGGAGTCAAGATCCTGTTCCTAGAGAGATGCCTTTATGCTTTCAAGAAATTTCTAAAAGATTCTAGTGCTTGATAAATTTCTCTTGGTAATCCCAAGAGCAAAACAAAAGATGAGTAAAGGTCTCTTTTGACCTAATACTCATACTCCTAATGAAAAATTGTGACAGTGATGCTCAGATGCTATTTCAACACCTGTTAGTGCAGCCACCATCAACTTGAAGGCTACCAACTTGGCAACAGTTAGGTCGGCCTGGAGAACCTTTTTCCCTTAGGAGGTATATCTGCAAATTGAAGAAATGACGGCAGTCATTTCTAGGATCGCGTTGCCCTATTTTTGACACTGACAACTGCTAGCAGGATACCAACATTAAGTCAGTTGCCACATGCCGATAACGATGAAGATCATCACGTGATCACTGCCACGACCGTTCCGGCAACTCATTTTCTGCTCTTCATTTTACGACCACCATCATCACATTTCCTTCGTATTTTCACGGCCTGGGGCGCTTGTCGCTCGCTGTAGACGATAATGGTGGACGACAAATGGATAGGTTTGGCACTGGCAGTGTCCAGCTCAGCGGCAATTGGTGTCAGCTCAATAATAACCAAAAAGGTCTGTAGCGATGCACATCATCGTCCCCGAAAGGTTACTGAACGGAAAGGTGACCACAGGGCCTCAATGCCTCGGCGGACACTACCTATGGTTCTTCAGCGTCGGACAACATGACATACCTGAAGAATCCAATATGGTGGGCAGGGATGTCGACTCGTGCGTAATGCAAGGTTCTGGTCATTTGCCCGTGGAAACTGACTTTTTTACAGTTGTACTAGGAGAAGGTTAATTAATCAGTTCTAATCTACGATATTTGCTCATCCCGCAGCAGCTGCAAATTTTGCTGCGTACACCTTCGCCCCTCCGATATTGGTCACACCGCTAGGCGCATTGAGCGTTCTAATTGGGTGCGTGTCTTTCTATGTTTAGCTCGACCCTTGTGCTGATCTGGAATAGTGCCGTTCTCGCATCCTTTCTGCTCGGCGAGCGGCTAGGTCATCTAGGCCGACTCGGTTGCACGCTGTCGCTAATTGGATCACTGATCATCGTCCTGCACGCTCCGGAAGACAAGGCTGTCGAGACTGTCGATGAAATATTGGGATATGCAGTGCAACCAGGTGCGTTCTTCTCTTCCTCTGCTTCTTCAAAGCCTAAAACCGGTCATAGGTTTTCTGTTGTACGTGCTCACTGTCATTGTCTTTACCTTGGTCATGATCTACGTCGCCGTACCCCGCTACGGCCGGTCAAATCCCCTTGTCTACATATCTATATGTTCTGTGGTCGGTTCAGTGTCTGTCATGTCCATCAAAGGCTTCGGTGTCGCCGTCAAGCTGACCTTTGGAGGGAACAATCAATTCCTGCGGCCTAGCACGTATGCGTTTGGATTGGTGTCAGCGTTTTGCATCATGGTGCAGATGAACTATTTAAACAAATCTCTGGACACGTTCTCCGTGAACATGTACGTCCCATTGACATCTTCCATCGCCGCTGACCCGCGTTACAGAGTTAACCCTATGTATTACGTCGGGTTCTCGTCTTCGACCATCGTCGCCTCCCTCATTCTTTTCCAAGGATTCAATACCACCGATGCAACAAACACCATCTCGCTGATATCAGGCTTCATCGTCATCTTCCTCGGTGTCCATCTCCTCAACCTCTCACGAAATCAAGGCCCATCTGTTGAACTCACGGGCTACAGTGCTTCCGAAGATGCGCCCGGTCATCTGGGGAGACTATCCATAGATGGATGGCACGGCATTGTTACGGGCCCAGAGGGGATTATTCCGCGACCAGGACAGCGGAGTCGGAACCAGACGACAACATTGTTTGATGCGTTTGACGACGGGCATGCTGCAGAACATGTCGGGCTTGAGCGGCTGAGGGAGGAAGACGAGACGGAGGACGACGATGATGATGACGGAGCGATTGATGAACGGACACGACTTCGCAGTCAGAGTAAGCATAGTAGTAGGGCGGCGTCACCCAGGGAGGTGTAAAATTTATCTTCAGTGCGATATCCACACATATTTTGGACGTTTGTCATTTAGTTATGGTACAGCATTCTTAGATTTGTCATGTATAGCATTGGTATTGCCACCTAGGCTCTGGAGCCTGCGTATTGCTTGACATGTAGGGTGCCATGGGACCAATATTTTCATTTTGCACCGGACATCGGTCCGAAGGTCCGACGTAACTGATTTCTTCTTTCTTGCTTCCTTGGCCCTTTCACTGTTCAGTACGCTGGGAGCTACACGTCAACTGCAACTGATTAAAAAGACCCCAGTGATAGTGGCGGAAAATTCTGGGTCCAACATTATTATTTTCTAGCTATAAAGGGATATCGAGATACCACTCGGATTGGATACCCTCTTCACTCAACCCGGACGACAGAATCGCTTTAAGAACCAGCGGGTCACCTGGGATTGTGTTCGATGCTCGAGTAAAGACTTTATTCCGATGCTTCGCTTAGGAGAAACCTTCACAATTAATGGGTGCCACAAATTGAAGACTATCTGACAGATTCCAGACTTCTTCAGACTCACCGCTCGCTTTGCCTAAACTCTTGAAGGATCCAAGAAATTGCACCGCACCTATTCTCGATGTTCCGGATGAAATGGTGTTGGTGTCCAAGCTTCGAGACATCGCGTTACCGGGCCATTTTGATTGCCGTTCGCTTGTCGAAGAAATTTGGCAGATTAGGATTCGCTTTTACTTCCTCATGAGTTGAAAGGTGCCTCGTATTCTAGGGTCTTGCACGAGCACGAGATCTTTCACGAGTTTGCAGTCTGATCAGACATTTTCACTGGCGAAGATTTTCTTGTTTACTGAGGTTTTCATTCTACCAGGCCGGTCTCTTCAGGCTTCTCTTCGACCCTCTGTTACCTCACTGCGTTGGATAGAATATATACGCATCTCTTTTCATCGCTCGATGAGCTTTTGACTACACTCTAAGTATTAGGTGACGTGTCGCTCATTCAACATGTATCGTTACACTCCAAGGCGCGGCATATATATGTATTGATCTGTGGGCCTGGGTAACACTGTGAACGCACACTTCCAATTCATCTGCAAAAGGAGATCGAGAAGTTGTGAGCGACATTCTAGCTGCTTTATTGCAGTCTCGCTGGCAGGTCAGGGTCCGCACCGTTCTAAAAAACTATGTGGCTCAGACTACTGTCATTTGAAGACGCTCTTCACAGAGGTGAACGGATCTATCATAGATCTGATCGCGTGAAAGTGGATAAGTGCCTCACTGATACTTATCGCATCGAGCGGACCACTAAACCGGATTCTAGATCTGCGCACGGACTTGGGCGCTTCTTGGTCCTCATTAACGAGTAACTTTTCGGGACATGTGAATGGTGTAAAAGGGTGGACCCAGTACAGTCGTGCTTTCTAGACTCGAAATCTCTGGTACGCCTTCGGCGAGGATGAGCAGGAACCGGAACTGCCAATAGAGACCACGAGGTCAAGGTTTCATTGATATCTCTGGTGGAAAGCCCCGGTTAGAAGCAAAAACTAGGCACTTTGACATCGGTACCAGTGACGTGACTCTCTCGAGGAGCGGTTGAAATTACAGAAGTTGAAAAGTTTCTGGGCTTGGGTGTCGCGCCGCAGTGATTAGAAAACCCGAAGCTAAACGGTATTGGGAACAATGGAACAATGGAAAGTGGTATGAGGACTCCGAGACTTGGACCAGGGTAGTGGCTTGTCAATGAAGGATGCATCAAATGATGGTGAGGATACAACAGGGACCTTTGGAGTCCTAAACTTGAAGCCAACTTACCCAATGAACCCAAAACTGAGTCCGGACTCGCAACCAAGGTGCAACGGTCAAGCTTTGTCGATAGATGAGGTGACTCGGGAGCTGTTCCAAACATAAGAAGGGAGTCACAAAGAACAGACTCGTACGCATTCGGCATAGCATGAATTGGAAGGTGAAATATATCAGTATGAAGGCACCGGCCGGCATTTAAATCTGAACCATTGTTCGCATCGATGAGGTAGAAGAAAAATTTTTATTATTCTCGCCCTTAGCCTGGTTGACATAATGCTTTCTGCGGCCTATGTACGATGTTCACAGATTGTCATCCGGATCACCAGGCACCTCACGTAGCGGCGGCACACGCGTGATAATTGGCGCGTTTCCCGCATTTGAAACTTGCTGATGTGTTTATTTTCAGGCTCCCTGTTCACTTTGATACCGGACTAGCCCGAGGTGACAAGCTAGGCGTGCCGAAGTCATACTGTGCCTGTAGCGATGATGATGCGGGATATCCATGGTACGTTTCCAGTTTCTTCCATCAATTTGATATCCTAAATCCAGATCGATATTCGAATTAAGTTGCTCATTGTTGCACAGGAGCAGAAAATGCAGTTTCATAATTTTGACGTGGCGTATCGGTATAAAAGTATCTCTTCCTCAGCTTCCTCTCGTCCTCCAACGACACTAGTTCAACAGGTCTGTAGCCCCCGCATCATTCTCTTACCGTACTCATTCTTCGGTACAGGTGACAGAATGGTATTCAACCTCCCTGACCGCGCATCCTTTAAGTTCCCTGTACATGAGTCACACGATATTCTTCGTACCCAGGCCGATGGAATCGCTATCGTTGGCATCATTGTTGGAGGCGTGTATCACTTTCGCGTCTTTCTCTTTAACCTACTGGAGAAGCGCTGCCTTCGCATCGACTGCAATCCTTTACCGATTGACGCCAACGGTATTGAGAAAGCTTGCGTGGATTTCGCGACGAAAAAGTACTTGTACCCGATTCCTCCGATCCGGATCTCTGAAATTTCGCGGAGCACCGGTGCCTTCTCCTATGGTCTTCAACCTCACGTTCAGATTGGAACCATTCTCGAGCTCTTGTTCACTCATCTCAAGCGTGATAAATACCTGTCCGTCATTTCTGTGATTTGTAGTCCCATAACTTACAAATATTATAGATTTTACAATGGTAGGGGATGCAGACACTGGTGTGCTACCATTCTGAACGACTTAGAGACCCATGGCTTTGTTTCCAATGGAGCAACAGGACATTTCGAGACGTGGGAAATGATGAAGCACAGAGAGCTCGGCACCTACTTCCCCATGCCTCGTATCCAAGGAGCCTTTTATAACTGAACTATAATAGTGTCATATATCCCAATACACTTGCCGAAGCTTGCCTGCGTATCATGAATCCTCCATACACTTGTGTTCATTATTCCGTGATCAAGCACAGAATGTTATGTCCCGAAGACTGCAAATAACTACGGGGGAGTAGCTCGGGGACGACATTTCAAAGAGTTTAGATGACCGGCTCGCATAAGCTGTAATTCTGTCCTGCCAATGATCGCTGTCGGAAAAAAGTCACAGACCATGAGGATATCATACCACTGTGATAGGTACTAATGACAAATCGGGGGTGTCTAGCAAATCTGAGACTGCCACGGGCACCAGTAGAGACAGGAGGACGGTTTGAAGATGGACAACTATACAAAGAGGATGTCATGTTTGATATCTCATATGTGCCAGTCACTCGAAACATGTACATGGGCTATTCAAATTGGAAGTAAGAGATGGACACTGACCAGTGGTAAATTGATGTGATGTGAGGAACAATTCAACAAAGAGTATCTGCATAACAAGTAGCCAGTTTCAGTACTATGCTGTCATGTGAGTGTAAGATCAGAACAGACAACCAGTAGGGTTGGTGAAGAGGCAACCAGTGCATGGCTATGGGGTGTCCCCAAGGGGGCCTGGAAAGTGACATTGATATGCCAGGCAGCTGTACCAGGTGAAAAAGAAAATATATTTATTGTTTTTCTACCAAGTTAGCTACATTATACCTACCACAGTTAGATATAATAAGTAAGAAATTACCTGGTGATGACACAATCCCATTGAGCATGATGCCTCAGTATCTAGCAGAGACTGAAGTGCTAGCAGATCTCTCTGTTTAGTACATGAGGTTCCAGATCCAGGAATAGGAACCTGAATGATTGGCATAGTGGCAAGAACCATGGCCTGACCAGATCAATCAACCAGATAGCTGCATATGAGCTCATATCTGCCAGAAAATGAGTTCAACCTATCTGGCTGGGTCAGCAAGTGTTGAGATTTGGTTTTCATAGCTTTAATATCACATTCTATTTATATATATTTACTGCTTATCTTATACATTGACATTTTTCATACCTATTGACTTGACTTGCAACTCCCACTGTCCTTACTCTATACAATGAAATATACCTTTCATTTGAGTCCAATACACCTCCCTCCAAATTTCCAGCATCTAAATTCCAACAGCAATTATGTTAGTCACTGGATCTTTATGTTAGTCAGACATAAGTAGCTAGAAAGTATAAATACCAGTCATATATAGAGGGTGGTCAGGTTTCTGGCCCTCTGGAATGCTACAAAGTGAACAGTATGGGTTTTCTTTGGCTAAGAACTTCAAGTTGTAGACTCAACCTGAATAGTATTATAATGACTAGGTCACTTTGTTTTGTGCAAGAACCCATAGAAAGCAACTGAAAGTTTATATCAGACAGTCAGACAGACCCAAGACAGTTCAGAACAATCAGTATTGTGTATAAGTCACAACCAGGCACATCATATCAGTCCAGAAACTGCACCAGGAAGACCATTTGAGGTAAGTTTTATTGTGTTCAGTGACACAGACAGCTTTGTTCAAGCAAACTGCAATATATATCTTTGAATTACATCTTATTGTGCTCTATCTACATCACATTCTCTATATACTTAGAGTCCAGGTATTACTATTCCTCCCTCAAACCACATTGTGATTTGGTGTTGGTGTTTTAGTAGTGTGCATCCCACACATTGTTGACTCATTCATTACTGCTTCACAGCATTTTAACATAGTTGAGGATTCTGGCAGGATATCCTACAAAGTTTATATACATAATGTCAGAGGGATGCAATAACATGCAACCACATCCATAGTCCAAGTTCATCCCATACAGAGTCAGGTGTCACACCATCAATGAAGACCATAGCTAGGTAACTTGGGTCTTCATCAAAGAAGCAATAGCATAGAGAAATAGGGATAGTTGTTTTTTGACAAACCAGTTCCATTGCACTGTATTCTTGGACCAATGCATCCATTTTCATGATGGTGTCAAAGTCAATGAAGGCAATCCTCTCTATGTTTAGACCAGTAAGGTTTTGACAGTGACAGCATCAATTTTGTAGAAGTCATCTCAAAGCTTTATTATCTCTGAGTAGCTTAGATAGTCTCCTGGATTATTCTGAGACTAAGGCCTGTGAGTAAAGAATGGAATGTAGACTGGCAACATACTACTAAGGAAGTGTTATCTGAGTCACCATGCTTTTGGCAAGAAAGGATGAATGATTGGAGAATAAAGGCAAGAGTGCATTCCAATAAGGAGTTAATATGCCATAAGAAGTTTCAGCACCATGTGTTCAGCACAATATATCCTGAAAACACACAGACATTTTTTATAGAAGCCTAGGTTTCATTCAAGTTTGGTTATTGTTAGTGTGTGGACATGTATAATGCTGCTTACCTACTGGAGTACAAACTCTGACCTCTTGTCACCCATACAACCTCTGGGCCACTTGCATTGTCTTTTGCTTCAAGCAAGATGGTACTTACTATGATGCAGTTCAAGTTTAATATTGATGACCTCTTAAAGACTTATGTTTTCAAGAATAGTGCCAATGTCAATAGTCATGCATGCAATCAGACATCAGCTCCAGACCAGTTGTTCTTCATTGATCCAGCAACCCAGCAGAGCTGGCCATGATGAAATATCTCTCACTTGGAACCTCTGAAAGACTCAAATAATCATACTGTCCCAGTTCTAGAGAGAGTGGATGATATGAATAAAATTCTCATTGCAATGGCAAAGCTTTGAGACCTTGGTTCTTCTGATCTCCATTATTGATCACAGCTCACAGAGGTGATTTATTAGGTAAGATTGAGGTTTCTTAATAGTCTGCCTCATTTAGGGCTGTCAGATTTTTCCATCTAAGGTCCACAGGTATGATAAACATTGTCTGCATTGTAAGTATTGACAGTTGTCCATCAGTGATGCATGCACACATATTTTATAGTGGACACAATCAGAGTCTGCTAAAAAGACTTCTATTTTGCATATCAATATAGCATTGACAGTATACACCTCTTCTGGTTTGCCACTGCTATATTGTGCCTGTTCATTGGTACATCCTTGACTTTAAAAGCTAGAGACTTCACAGTCATGTTTGGTTAACCAGATTATAGAAAAAGTCTTTGCTGTTATTTATTCAATCATTATCATAGAAGTTCCATTATTATATCCCATACACTGCTGTCTCATTTTATCATGTCATTCATTATTTACCAGGTCCTGAAGATGCACCTAACTATCTGAGCTGCTTTGAAAGGCTATCATAAGTAATGTCTCAGGAAGTTGCCATACTGCTATGTGATTTTATGGTCAGGAGAACAAGAGCAGCAGTGTTAAGCCCAAATTCCACATGACCAACAACACATGATAAACTAACAGAATCTCACACTTTGGGTTAGACTGTTAGAGTTCACTGATGTGTTGTTGGCATTTGTGTAGTCAAGGCATTTGCAAGTTGCTCAAGATAAGATGGTGGAGAATAAACTTTAGCTCAAAGCTGGGGTTACCATAGTGAGAGCTATACTACTTATATACTAATTCCTTATCATTCTAAAGATAAATTACTTACAAAAGAGTATTGTCTGTCATTGTGCTGTTACTGCTGTTATGACTGTGCAGAAACAAAAGAGTATTATCTGCTGTTGAGCTGTTACTGCTGTTACTGCTGTGCAATGACAAAAGAGGCACTCTGTTATTGTGCTGCTGTATGGCTTCACAGCAGGCACAGTAGAATCAGGGCAGTGCTGCTGACTAAGCTTTCCCATGATCCTAAGCACCAGAATAGGTGCCCTGACTAAGCAGAAGTAGGGGTCAATCCTGAATAAATCAAGGAAAAAGAAAAGAAAATAGGAAAAATCATAACAAGCAGGCCTTCACTATTAATGTCTGAAGTCAATCTTTGTCCTTGATGATGGTCATGCAGTGCTTGCCGGATTTTCACAAGAAACATGAGATAGACAAAGAAGATAGAACAATGGTTGAACAGACTCTGACCTGTCAAGTTATACAGAATGTGAAGGTTAATGATCATTTCTTATGATTATTCAAGATGAGTAGATAGTACAAATTTCAGCAAGACTGAGATGGCTGAGACATTGATGATGTTTAGTGTGACAGGAAAACAGAGACAATAGGAAAGGGTCTACAGCATAGACAAGAGATATACATGATTTCAAAGATAGGCCTCAGATATGTTATGTCAGATAGAGATTACTAAACAGATCTGGAATTTCTATAGCATGAAACATATAGATTTTTTTCCACTTTACCTTCTTAGTGGCACTGTGGGCCAGATCCACTACTCTGAGGAGGATTCTCCTTAAGGTAGAATGCACATGAATAAACATTTCAATATCTATGGCAGACCTTATTTAATACTGTCCTAATATGAATACATTCTATGAAGCAAGGACACTGTCTCATCTTCAAAAGGCCATGGAAGGCTGCAAAAAGAGCCTCATGAGCAATGTTTATATTAGAAGCTATACATAGCATTCACCAGTTTGACAAGCTGCTTTGCTTGGAGTGACTACTATTTCTATAAAATCTCTATCAGTACCTGCATGATAAGTTGCATGATTTTGGTCAACAAACCCTTGGGTATACCATAAGGAAAGTTCACTATGAATGTGGGCTATGAATGCCTATGATTAGCTGCATTATTACTGACATGGTGAGAATACATGCTAAAATTCATAGGTTCTGAAGCCAGTGAGTTACCATCTGGGCCATTCTGAGAGGATGCTGCCAACTGGGCTCTGATTGTGTCAGATTCAGTCTGAAGAGTGATTAAAGAAGAGGAGTTGAAGTTGAGAAGCTTTTGCAAACATGATACTTATATTGGATATGAAGGAGTTGCTTTTGGAGTTCTGAGACTTCTGGCATGATGTACAGCATGAATGCCACCTTGCATTGGACATAGAGACCTGCCCTCAGTGTGGAGTGTATTTCTCTCTGCCTGAGAGTCTGCAGGCATCTTGAAGG